CGTTTGTTGTTTCAATAATACATTCACAAAATAAACAATCCAATATTCATATTTAGCCCTGATTCAATAATCGAATGTTGATTCGATTACTGTTTTTTGAAAAACTACATTTTCCACAAGTCGACCTCAGAATTTTGTTTTTTTCTTCTTTTTTCTAAGAGTCGAGTGCGGGCGAGTTCTGCAGTTCAAACCCAAACAAACTGTTACATGTACACCATTTTGCTGCCAGTAATCAGTGCAGCAGACCTGACCTCTTAGAAAACACGATGGTCGAACTGAGGTCAGTGTATGTGCGGTGATTGGTGGATTGCGATCCTCGGCCTTTGTCGGTTTCTTTGCGTTTGCGGTCAGCCTGTTCGCGCTATCCGAGTTACCAGAGAGGTTATGATTAGACCCCATCGACCGTAGCCGCTTCGGACACCTCATGAAATTTACACAACGTAATTTTCCCCTTTACTAATTAGGGTTTATCACTGCCTCTTACAGATTAGGGTTAAGCACTGCTTTTACAGATAAGGGTTAAGCACGCCGTTAAGCACTGCCTCTACTGATTAGGGTTAAGCACTGTTTCAAAACTGGTTAGGTTCTTTTTGTGGGTTGGGGTTGATTCGATATGTACTTAAATTTTTTCTTATCCATCCAGCAAATCCTCAGCGGTCTAGTGGATTGACTGTATACTGGACTATCTGGGTCGTGGGTTCGAATCCTACTGTCTTTCCTATCAATTTTTTTCTCTTTCAAATTGAAAAAACTTGAACTTTCATGAACATTTCCAGCTTGAAATATCATCTAAGGGTGAGATAAAAGCACAGGCAACCCAGGCTCTCTGATAGTACCACAGTACAGTTCCAGTAAAATTAAAGTGTTTGTATGCGGTAAAGATACGATCCTAAAATTTCTAGGAAATACTAAATAAAGATCAGTGAAACTTACTCTGCAGTTAGTTGTTGTTGTCCTTAATGCTCCAACGAAGTTTCATGATAATTTGTTCAAATTCACTCTTTATACAATAATAATATACAAAAAAATCCATCCTGGGTGTCCTGGGTTGACCTTTCTAGGGACCGATACATAACTTTACCAGAGTTACCCACCCCTGCTGGAAAAACATTTGCTCGAGGGCTATTATATTGTTCACTTGAGACAAACACGATTCGCCCAAGCAAACTACATTTTCCAGTACATGTTCCAAATCAGCTTTGCAGTAGTCTTTGGACTTCTCGTTCTTGGTTCTTCAGTTATATTTTGGCTGATTAGATCTCTCTTCTAGAGATCCAACGTTTACAACCAGCAGGATCTTCGTCCACGGTTTTTGAAGTTAATTTAATCCTTAATGTTCCAGTGCACGCGTCAAAATGAGAAAAAAGAAAACATGTAAAACGTGATGTTTGCATTTTGCAATTTTTTTAACTCTGGAAAAATTCCAATTTTCAAATCGCAAAAGCTTGATTGACCACTACGACAGCGACAACATTAACAACAAACACCAATTTTATAGATTAGCAAAACATCAGCTTGTAATCTGCTTCACACCATCATACTTAATTTGATTGTTTAATTTTAAAAAGCGTGAGCACGTGCTTTTTTACTCATTTTGACGTGTGCACTGGAGCACTATGCTTGGGCGAGTCGTGTTTGTCTCAAGTGAACAATAACCCTCGAAAAAATGTATTTCCAGCAGGGGTGGCTAACTCTGGTAAAGTTATGTATCGGTCCCTAAAAAGGTCAACCCAGGACACCCGGGATGGATTGTTTTGTACCGTGCCCAGGCCTCATTTTCTTGGCCGCGCGTTGATCTGGTCCGGCTACTTCGGCGAGCATATTCTCAACCTCTTTGGATTACATCCTTCGAGTTTGTCAAAGTCTGCGGGATTCGTTTTTCTATCTGGGAAGCTTCATTGGTTTTTTATATCTGCTGTTATCCTATTACTACGATCTTGGCATGTTTATTTTCTGTTGGAGTTCGAATTTCGTGGAAAAAGTTGTGTTGAATGAGAGCATGGCAGCGAAGATGGCATCTCGTGTCTCCTACCTTGTATATTATTATTGTATATAGAGTGAATTTGAACAAATTATCACGAAACTTCGTTGGAGCATTAAGGACAACAACAAATAACTGCAGGGTAAGTTTTATTGATCTTTATTTAGTATTTCCTAGAAATTTTAGGATCGTATCTTTACCCCATACAAACACCGTAATATTACTTGAACCGTACTGTGGTACTATCACAGAGCCTGGGTTACCTGTGATAAAAGCAGAAAAAATGTTCTACCTTGTGTATATTTCATAAGGGGAGAGAGGGGCTACAACCGATGGAATCTAAGGCTGACCTACCAGAGAAGGCTTGGCGAATTTTCCCGATAAAGTTGACAGGTGACGTCACATCCGAAATCGCCGAGGACCACCGGGAACGAGGATAGGAAGGCTTGACATGCTTTGGCTGTAAAACGAAGGCTAAGATCAGTATCAGAGCAGTTTTTTTTACCACCCCTCTTCACTGTTCTGAAGCCTGGGTAAACCTATCGCTGTCACATTCGCGTTCTAGAAAGATTCCACCAGTGCTGACTGCGTACATTAGAGTGACTACCAACTTTGAGGTCACTGAGAAGATTAGAATTACTGATTATCGAGGCCACCCTCATGTAGACGTACGTAGCTATGCTGGGTAGCACACCTTTCTACACTGCGTGGTCGCCACCAACCAAAGTTTTATACAATTTTGAGTACTTACCACGCAAGAAGTACTGACGACGGGTCACCCGAGAAGGCGCTACAATGATAGGATAAAGAAGGCACTCAGTCGCAACATTGTTGACTAATATGGCTGCCAACAGAAATGCTTAGCCGCGCCCTTTGTTAATACCACCAACCAAAATACTAAAATCTGGAATCCAGCTCTTCTGGAATCCGAAATCAACTCCCTGGACATCCAGTACCTCCAGTACCTGCACAACGTCAGGTTTAGGGGCTCCCGACAGCGTGGAATCCAGGTTCCAAGAATGTGTTGTAAAACCCTGGGGGATTACCTCACGCAAGAGGGGATAAAGCTCCTCCCTTGCCTTACGTGATTACCTGGGGCGATCAAAGAGTAATATGGTCCCTCTTTTCTTTCCTCGGGGTGATAGACATTTGAAGTATGTTTGGCTCAGAGAGTGGGGAATTTGAGCTCTAATTTTTCAAAAAATTAAATCTGTTAAATGCACGGGACGTTGACTGGAGAAGGGTGTTGAATTTTTTATTTGATTTTGACATTACCCCTGATTGAGGCCGTACACAAATCAGCAACGACACCTTTCCGTGCGAGGCACGAATTCGTCCGTAAGCCTGCGGTTTTTACTTTGTGTGACGAAACTGTAAGGGTAACATGAACCAAATGAATCATTGCAAAGAAAATTTTATGCGTTCGGTTGACCAAGTTAACTCCATTGGATCCTGTGGTCAAAACTTAAAAGTTCTAAAATTGCTTTTGATAACTTAAAGGTACAGCAAGAGTTAAAAATACCTTTTCCCAAACTGGTGGAAAATTTAATAATTTTGTTATTCTCTTTATCAACTGACAATTCACAGGGCTTCGATTCAAAGTAAAATTTCTTTTGAATTCTGCGGATGTAATCTAGGAAAAGAAGCCTGCGTAGACAGTGCTTCCGCGAGAAATTTTAGAGAAAATTGGGACAACGAGCTCGCGCGGAACGGAATGCTTCCACGATACGCACCCCTCCCCCCGGGCTAACCCCGGGCATTAGCATTATTTTTACCTTGCTTGGATGAGCAAATTCCCGGGGACTGGGACACTTGAGCACCAAATGTCCCGTGGTGGGGACGAAAAAAAAAACAGTTTTCATTGATTGCACAGTCGAATAGTGGCACTCTAAGCATTTTTAATCTGAACTTTTTCGTTTCAGTAAACGTTTGCCTTTGTAATAGGGCTATTCTTATTAAGTCACGACCAAACCATTCATGATTCATTTTTTGTCATTGTTATTTATCTTGTTATAAATGGTTCGTAGGCAAAAAAAGGGCCATAAAATTAAAATCAGTAACAGCGCGTAAAGCCATCGGTTCTAAATAGTTTAACTTCTTTAATGTTCTTCAAATAATAGATTGATCATACATGATCGAAGCAATATTAAAATAATTACCCCTAGATTTTATTCAATCCTGCATCAAAAGAAATTTGATATAATATAACGATAGCTCCCGATTTCGCAGTGTAAATTCTGCCTTGATAAGCAATGAAATCGAGAAACATGCCTTTAAAAACCTCTACAAGTCATTTGCATCCTTGACAGATGAGCCGATCTGCTTGTGTTTCAAGTAAAATCCTCCATGTTTACTTATATTAGGATAGGAAACCACATGGGGGGGGGGGGGGGGAAAAAAGCGTAAGAAAGAAAAACAAACCATACACGCTCTATGTGACATTTTCAACTAGGAACGTGTAGCGCATTTGGTTGTATTGTAAAAAAAACTACTTTTGGATTATATGATAAAAGGGGAAGAAGGGGGGGGGGGGGGGGGGGGGGCTTTGACTGATCCGATAGGTTAATGCAAAGGGGGCAAATAAAGATTGATATATTATCTTTTATGTAGTGTCGGCTCGAAGATATTAGCTTGTTAGCTTCTCTAAAGTTCGAGTATAAATAAAGTTTATGTTATGTTATGTGTTTGTTATATAAAAGTAAAGTTATATTGTTTATTATTATTATTATTATTATTATTATTATTATTATTATTATTATTATTGTTGTTATTGTTACAGTTTGCACTGAGGTTTGGAATAAGTCGAACAGTTTGCAGGAAAGTTTCCATATTCTAATTTGCTTCTTTTGCTTGCACTTATTAATGAAATCTATTTTTTATTTCTTTCAGAAGAAACATTTTGTGTATCTTTAAGCTGGTATATGGAGTGGGCCTTCGATTACTTAGGAAGCTCTTTTTGGAAATTAACCCGTCATGGTCTAATCAGCCTTCAGATGCAGCTCAGTTTGATAAAGGGAAAATGAAAATTAGCAAAGAAGAGGAAGCTAGTTTCAACAGTGGGGACATAGACAAATGGGACTTCTCGTTATTGACAACAGCACTGCTGTATTCTTATAGCTGTGCATTAGAGATAAGCAAACGATCCGGATTTGAAAATGCTCTGCACGAATTAAAAAAGTATCGTAACAAGCTACTGGGACATCCTTACACAGACAGGATGTCTGATGAAGAATTCAACTACTTTTGGCCTGTGCTGGCGGACAACTTCATTAAACTTGGAGCTGATCCAAATGAAATTTCAGAACTCAAGCTTCAATCAGGTAGTAATTTTAGAATGTAGCTCTAGAACACATCCCGACAGTGCAGACCATTTACTGGCTAAGTAGTGGCGTAGCGACCAATTTTATTTCCCTGAAATGGCTAGCTCGTATACTTTACTTAATCAGTCTATGACAAACATTGTTGAAGAAAGGAGTTCTGCAAGGCACCAAGATGACACAAATAACCCAACAGAGCAGGGTAGCACTGAAAGAGAAATGTGTCATCCTAATTTTCTGCTTTTACCCCTTTTTTAGATGAGGTTCTTCGTGCAGCAGAACACTATCAGATGCTCTTCGAAGAAGAACGAGATAAATACAATCGTTGCGGGAAGAAGCTTGATTCCATGGATAGAAAGCTGGACGTCCTACTTTCTCGACATGAAGCTAATGATAACCATAATCCCCCGCCTGATCCGGCCTGTCCAGCCACTCGCAGTGATTCCCAGTGGGATGAGTGGTCGCTGTTCCGTAATGCGGTTGGCGATTTCGATTCCCAAAAATTTCAGTACATCCTTGTCACCGATTCTGTTCCTCAACAAAATCTTGAATCCTACTCCATATTGAGAAGTGTCACATGGAAGATGATCTTAGATTTCGACCCTATGTCAGAAGAAGAAGGGTTTTATCGAGAATTTACATCGAAAGAAGGCCAAAGTAACCTGGTAACCATGTTTACACCCGCAGAGTTGAATAAGAGTACCATGAAGAGTTTGTCACGTCAGATTGATCCCAATAAAATCCAGTGGGTGTTTGTTAATGGCAGGTCCGGTGACGGTGATGGTGGCTCACAAGAGAATTCCAGTCGGGAAGCTTCCTTCATGAGAGGCATCAGTAGTTTGTTTCGATGCTGTTCCGATCCAGACACCTTTGATGAGCTGAAACCAGTGATATGTCTAATTCTTCCTCTCAAGGACTCTAACTTACCCCATCTTCAAGTTACATTGGGTCGATTGATTGAAAACTTCTACGACCTTAACTTGGAGTTCGTATCTGTTGCTGACCGGAATTGGCCCGAAACCTTTGAAGAATTTAAGATTCAAAGTTTTCATTTAGGTCCAAAGGTTCTACACTTGGGCTTAAAAGCCTTACTTGATACGTCAGCAGGACGAAAGCTCTGTATGCCTACTTCGCATGCCGGAGTAACGGTAAACCTCAGTCCAAGGCAGTACCTTTATCTTAAAGAACTGTTAGACATTATGTACCTGGGATGCGAAGATTTACCAGAGGATAACGGTAGTTCTTTAGAGTATGAAGAACAGCAAGACTGTTTTTTGGAACAACAAAGAAAGTCGTTCTTGTCTGGGAACCAAATTTCATTCGCCAGTCTTTCCGACAATCATGATGCTAGAAGGGAAATCGAAAGAGATATTAGGGTCCACGTGCAACGTCTTCTAGATCAGGGATTAGCAAAGCCCGTATTTGTGGAGATCAGACATCTACCCGGCACTGGTGGAAGTACAATTGCTCGTCGAGTGTTGTGGGAGCTCCACAAAGACTATCCCTGTGCGTTAATCGACATAAGTTCTCATCGGTACTCTGATGAAGATAACACCCTTGCAAACCAGGTGGCAGAGAGGATAGCATCCCTTGAAGAAATTTGCAACACAACACCACTGATTTTGGTTGATGGAAAACAATCTGGCGCCTTAGAAGGACTGACAAACAAGCTGTCTCGCATTCTACAGAACAAAGGAAAACGCGTCATGATATTGCGTTGCCTTCGAGGGTCAAAGGTTCTTTCAAAAAGAACGGAGGAGGCTTCCCAACTTCACAAAGTGTTCCATGTCAATGTGAAATTAGAAGAATCAGTGACTGATCTTCGAGAATTCAAGTCAAAGTACAAGGAGTACATCGACTGTACTATCAATAAATCATTGGCCACGAAAAATGCTTTATCTAGCCTTTGTCGGGTATTTCATTTTCCCCTGCTTGCCATGATGGAAGAGTTCCGTCCCAAACTTGAGAAGATAATCGAAGACACGTTCAACGAATTGGGTGGAATTCAGCAAGAGATTGCAGTGGTAGTGGCCTTTTTGCAGAAGTACGCCAACCTGCCTACCCCTGCACTTCTGCTACATGAAGCTTTCAATCAGTTTATACGAATGTCGGCGGGCAAAAGTGCCACTTATGATGATATCAGCCAACTCTTTTCGGAGAGTCTAATGAATTTGATGACACCCGCTAAACCAACACGTTGTGCGAACAAAAACCCACCAGAAAGTTACACGTTTCAGCATCCGTTAGTTGCAGACTTGATACTGAAGAGAGTGTATCAACTGCAAAAACGTGACTTGTTTGCAATAGTGGAAACTTTTCTTAAATTTCCCATTTACCAGGAAGAAACGCTGCTACCACTCATCTTCGAGCTTTTTGTCTACAACAAGACAGGAACAACTGGCCATGAGAAATTAAAATTTTCCATCCTCTTCGAGGAGCTAAAAGAGAATGATTCAGATCGAGCCACAGAAATATTTTGCCAAGCAGCGGAAAAGTTGAACGATCCTGTGATGTACGCAAATGCAGCGCGATTTTGTGCCAGGAAGGAACCTCCTTCGTTTCCAAAGGCAAAGATGCTAATTCAACAGGCTTTGAAAATGCACGGATCCACAACAAAAGGTGGATACAAAAATTTGTGCCACACTAAGGGAGTTGTCCTGTACTTTGAACTCAGGTACATGATAAAATCTGGTGAAGTCAAACAATTGAATGACCTTGAAGTAATGGCAAGCAGTGTTCTTGAGGCACATCGCGAAGCACGTAATTTCCCCCCCACCTATCCACACCCATTGATTGGAGAGGTAGAAGTTTGGCTTGAGTGCATAAACTGGATAATGAACAACATGTGTAGCGGTGACACAGAGGAAACCTTGGGCTTTCTGACAAATCTTGCGCCGCCTTTCTTTCGTACATGCCTCAGTGACTCTTTTTATCTCCTGGACATTGTGGATGGTATTGTTCAAAGTGTACCACATCTCGCCGATCCTGCAGAAACAAAGCGGTTGTGCAACCACTTGAGATTGTCTTTGATGACAATATGTCGCACACACTCCCAAGGCCATGGAAGGCGTAAAGCTGACGAAGATATAGTTCAAGCTTGCAGAGCTATGTGCACAACGAAGCATTTCCGGGAGTCATCCCAGTTAGAGCTCAAACGTCTTCAAGCTCATTTCATTTTAAGTCACAGTGAATCAATCGATAACTTGAAGAAAGAAAATCTTGAATATTTGCTCAAACTCCTGGAGGAGCTTGTTTTGAAAGAAGACGAGTTCCGTTTAGCGCAACATCTAATGAAAGTTTCCATGCTAGTAACTGGACCGCGAAGTTATAGCCTCGAGCAAGGTCTACACGTGTGTGAGAAATGGTTGGTAGTCTCAAGTCATGGATGCCTCCCAGAATTTTATAAGATGGCCATCTATTTCCTGCAAATCCTTGATGGAAACTCACTAGAATTTATGCCAAAGTATATTCAAGCCCTCGAGAAATGCCGTGAAAAATGTCAAAACGACATGCGAAGATTCTATCCTACACATTACGTAGCTAATGAAGGACAGGGTATGTCTCGCCTTATAAGCCGCCATACTTTGTTGCGTGGAGAGACGGACTACTCTTCAGAGAATGTTGAAACTGTTTCAAGGTTTTGGCAGGTTGGAAGTAGGAAAAAGTTGCAGGAGTGCAAGGGAAGAATCAGAGTGAGACAGCCATCTGGTCGCGTGAAATCGAAGTTGCAACCTTACATTGAATTACTACAAGGAAATCTTGAGCTCTACGTTGGAAAGCACGCGGACATCGGTAAAGCAGAGATAGACTTTACACCGGGCGCCTTAGTATACTTTGTCGTTAGCTTCAACCTTCAGGGTCCTGTCGCAAATGGCATCACGTTTTCACCGCAGAACCCATCAAATGATTGAAGAACGTTGATTTCAATACAACACTGAGTAACAGACAGTCTCCAGACCGCCAAGCGGCCCCGCTTTATCAATTAAATTCATTTCATGTTGTCCAAGCGTCGATTTTAGTTTTTAAGCAAGTCATCTCTGACAAAAGAATTGACTTTGGTTGCCCAGGAACCCAGAAAAATTCATTCACTGGAAGTAAAATATGGCCAGTGATTTTGAAACTATAATTTTTATGAAGGTCAGATATATATTTTGCAAAAGGATTTATTGTTGATAAGTTTTGCAACAGTAGTTTAACAGGTTCAACAAAGTAAACGGATTTGTAGATAACAACCTTCGATTTCAGAAGGCTTAAAGTCGATTTTTAATTGTACTATTAACTGCAATGTTCAGAAAACGTACAAAAAAGAAGTACTCTTGGCATGATTTAACTTCACTTTTTAACCGTATTAGGTATATACTCAAATAATGTGATTTATTTAAGAAGGATTTGTGTTGTCTACTCTGTTTTGACAAAACAAATGAGCAGTGATTTTCAGGACAACGTTCGATTTCAGAAGGATCAACGTAATACTGAATTATATACCGTGTGCAGGGAATATGCGTATTGAAAATATTCTACTACTTTACGAGTTTCTATTTTGTAAGTAAAAGAAAAAGAGTCCAGAGGGCACTGTTACAGAAATTCTAGGCGTTCAAACAAAATGATCACAATTTATTTTCTTTAGTACTCATCAAACGGCTCTTTCAAGGGCAAGACATATTAATATAATCAAGAGAGAGAATTCTAGTAAGAAAGGCAAAGTATATGTAGTTTAAATGCGATTTAAATGCATGTACCTACTAACTTGCTTTCACTGTCGAACACACATCTTCATTTTTTTATATACATACACGTGACGGTGCTCTTCGAATAAGAATCATTAATAATATGGGAGAATTTATTATTGACAGCCAAGGGTTTGCAATTGTTATTTTTCTAAGAAAGATCAATTTTCTACAACGTATTCATAAATGTTATATGAGTAGTTTTAGGAGCCTTCCCATGAGGCCTTGTGTGATTAAAGTAGAGAACGCATGGCTTCGTTTCATATAAGTTGTCTCAGTCAATTCGTCAGTTCAAGGCCGAATAACAATGAATAATAAAGACAATTTTTTGAGCTGTTATACACATGTGTATCGTTGTTGATACAAACTAACTCTCTGCTCAGTCCAGAATGAGCTACTAGAATCAAGAGGTTGCACCTGATGTAGTTAAAGGGTCTATGAGTTTAAAGGTGTTGTGGGTTTGGTTAAGTCCGGTGAAGGAGCAACAATATTTGAAGGGGGGAGAGGCAGGGAGGAAGTCAAGTTTTTGTGTCATCGTGTTGCGTGATGACACAACGGCTGTGTTGGAGACTAGGGAGGAAAAGTAAAATTAGAGTACCCTTGATCCCCAGAATTTCCTTCCCTTGATAGCCCTTGGAAATGTTTATTAATCAGCAAACTTACTGAATCTCGCTTTTTGTATGGATCAAGCACAAAATGACCTGCATATTTCCAAACAAAGTGGTGGCTGGTCAGACCTCTGACAAGCGTTGTGGACATAACAGTTATATGCATCATTTTGTTCTTGATCCATAAGCAGGATTCAATAAGTTTGCTGATGAATAAACTGATTTCCATGCGCTATAAAGGGAAGGGTCAATTCTTGGAAGGGTACACAAAAGCGACGACACAAAAAATCGTCGAGGTAGGAGACCGTGCTTCCCTCACAACTCTCCTCCAGTCATCGTCTTCAGAGAATGTTACTCCTTCACCAGACTAAACCGAACCCATGTATAGAATTCAAGAAAATTTAAACAAGACTACCGATCTAACTAACTTTGATGGATCTTTGCCACTGAGCGAGCTTTACCATTTTGATTTTATCTTTACGGCTGTTTCGGATGACACGCAACCTGCAATGGGATTGTTCTGCGACGTCAACCAAAATCTGAAGAAGTCGCCTTGACATTGCGGACCTCTTAGGAAACAAAAGGTCAAGCTATTGTGATTTGAGATTGGTGGATTTCGATCCGTTTTGTATGTTTTTAAGTTTGTTGAGATCAGTCGCATGTTTTTGAAAAGCGTTAAGTTTTACCTTTATACTGCTCTAAGTTTTTTATCTTCTGTATACTGAAACATAGCAAGTATAGATTTTTCCTATAGAGCTTCCAAATCTAGAAGAAACACAGATATGGGAGGGTGAAAACGTATCGGTACGTTCTCGCTAACATTTACTTTTGCAGCTTCTGCTCGCTCGTTATTGCCGCCTTAATATCATAGGTGACGAATTACTCCTTAATTTTGGCGCGAAATTTCAGCGTTAATTTGTAATTTCACATGTGAAATTACAAAATTGCCATGGCAACCTTCCGTACGTGTCAGTGTCAAGATGGCGACGAAGTTTTAACGGGCGCTTTCAATTTAGTCAAAATTTCCGGAATTTCCGGTTCGGCGGTAAATGGAACACGTTTCGTCGGTTCGTCCCACTGGAAAATTCCCAGAAAAATTGGAAAATCTAAAAAGGTGGTCCCGTTTTCCCGGTTGGAATTTCCGAACGGAATGTCGTGTTCCATTTACGTTTCTCGTTGTTTGTACCAGTTCCAGGTCCACGGTCGGGCACCGCCACGTACCGGGGTTTACGACCAAACGGAACAACTTTTTACCAATCGGAAATTCCACTTTTGCTACCACCGAAATTTCCGGGTTTTTTTCCTAAATGGAAAGCGCCCAACATGTCATGAATGAAGATGTCAGGGCACAAAAAGACGCTTTAGAAAACCTGAACACACGAAAGAGCACATCAAGAAGGATTCTAACAGGTATTTTGTCGAAAAACTCTGAACTTAAGCCAAATTTAAGCTCTAAACGTTCGAGAGAGTGCAGGAGCTCTCGATCGATACGATCCAGGATAAAACATGTCAAAAATCCAAGATTGCTAACGTAATTCGTCACCCATGATATTTATAGGTAATCAAATGGTATACTCATGAAATTAGGGAATAATTNAACACACGAAAGAGCACATCAAGAAGGATTCTAACAGGTATTTTGTCGAAAAACTCTGAACTTAAGCCAAATTTAAGCTCTAAACGTTCGAGAGAGTGCAGGAGCTCTCGATCGATACGATCCAGGATAAAACATGTCAAAAATCCAAGATTGCTAACGTAATTCGTCACCCATGATATTTATAGGTAATCAAATGGTATACTCATGAAATTAGGGAATAATTTCACTTGGGTTTTGTCCAAATCCTAATAATTTCCCTCGCCTTTTTTTTCGCGTGAAATCATTCCCTAATTTCACTCGTCACCATTTGATTACACATACTTAGTTGACAAACACAGTGAATGCTACGGCAACATTTTGATTGACGTCGCAGAAAAAATCAAAATCCTGAAATGCGTGTTATCTGAAACAGCTGTAAGGCAATGTTTATAAGGAGGCAGGGTAACCCTGGTGCTAGGGTTAAGCTAGCAAGAGGGTTAACCTAGCACTCGCATATTTCTTCTTTTTTACACTACGTGTTGACAAGGCAGGTAGGGATTACTCTAGCGCTAGATTAACCCTACCTTAGTGCTAGGGTTACCCTAGCAAAAGTTTTACCCTACCTGCCTTGTAAACGCTCAGCTAGGTTTAGGGTTAATGGAGATACCCTAGGTAGACCAACTTGTCATGGAAAAAACGGGACGAGCGTTAATGATGATCTAATATGTGATCAGTGCACATTTCTTAACGTTGCAAATTTTGTTGTTAAACAGCCATCTTATTTATCGGATCATAGTCATCGTGCCATCGTGGCATGGCTCAATCTTCACACCAGGCTAATTGGAGACGAAACGCACACTCCAAATAGTAGCAACAGATTATCAAAATGACCACGGCAATTTTGCTGGGAAATTTACTCACATTTAAAATTCAAAAACGCACTACGCACGGAACAAATCCAAATTCTGATTAGACAATATATGGAGAGAAATACCGAAGATGTGAACATCTCCCTAGAAAATGCTATGAAAATTCCAACTAAGACCTCCAAGCTATGCCTAAAAATTAAAGCTAAGAAAACTTAATAAGCGTATTAAAAAACCATCCAACAAGAAATGGTTCGACTGTGAATGTCGATTGAAAAGGCATGAATTACGTAAACTCTCAAAAGAAAAGCACCGTGACCCCCTCAACTCCGAATTGCGGGAAAGATATCACAAAACCTTGAGTGATTACAAAAAGCTCCTAGACACAAAGAAGAGAGGATTTCACAAAGAAAAAACATTACAACTCGACGAACTAGCTTTAAATCCTGACGAGGCGTCATTTTGGAATTGTATAAATTCGATGAGCGACACTCTCAACGAAAATGTTCCTGCCCCAATCTCGCAAGAATCATGGCTTCATCATTTCAGATCTCTGCATTCTATTGACCCGACGAATTCCACGCATGAACATGAAATCCATAGGGAACTTAATTCTTTAGAACACGAAAAGGAACAGTTTACCCATTTCGATTAAGAGATAACTAAGAGGGAAATACGTCAAGCGGCGAAGAAATTGTAAAATGAGAAACCACCATTTGTTAACAAAATACGAAACGAAATGATCAGAGCAAGCCTTGAACCACTAATGCCCGTCTATGTCAAACTTTTTAACCTCATTTTACAATCCGGAAAAATGCCAGATGGTTGGTGTCAAGGCCTTATAACCCCAATTTACAAATCTGGTGACAAGAGTGACCCAACAAATTACAGAGGCATATGTGTTTCTAGTTGCCTTGGAAAACTGTTCTGCTCTATTTTAAATCGAAGACTTCACTTGCCTTTTTGAGGAAAATAAGATATCACATAATTCTCAAATTGGCTTTTTGCCTGAAAATCGCACTGCAGACCATGTTTTTCACTCTAAGGACCCTCATGGATAAATATGTGCGTTATCACAAGGAAAAAGTGTACGCTTGTTTTGTAGACAGTTTCCGCAAAGCGTTTGACTCTGTTTGGCGCGAAGGATTGTTTTATAAGCTGCTAAAAACAAATATAGAAGTAAACTTGTACAGCCTCATGAAAAGCCTTTATTGCGACTCGACATATGTTCCATCAAAATCGGTGAAAACAAAACTCAGCCTTCTTCATATTCCAGAAGTGTACGCCAAGGCTGTATTTTAAGCCCCCTTTTATTTAACCTCTATTTAAACAATCTGCCACATTTATTCGAAAACACGTTATCTGACCCACTTGTTCTTCCGAATGGGAAAAAAATAAAATTTGATTACAGAACTGTTTAAATGCGCTTCAACGTGACGCGTTTTCTAGTATTCGGAAGCGGACAATTCTTCATAAATTTTTGACACAATGATTTTCCCAATCATGCGCTAACAACAGCGACGTAATATACACCAAGCAAGATTTTAAAAAAATGGGATAGCTCCCCAATAGAAAAAATTCACCTCAAATTCTGTAAACGTTACTTAGAAGTTAACAATAAGGCCACTAACAGAGCTTGCAGGGCTGAACTTGATAGATTGCCGCTGCTTACCCCGATAAATCAGAGAATTATGAAATATTTTGTTTACCTCAACAACAAAGATAATGCCTCTATAGTCAAACAGTCTTTCCAAGAGAGGATAAAGGGGACAGAGAAGGCATCCTCCATACACACCCTATTGCATAGGTAATTCGTGTCGAGTTATTTTTAAGACCACAGACCCCAAGGGGGATTAGACAAAAGCCAATCACATAGCGCGAATGTGTTCCGCGTGGATGACCCACACTCAGAGCCACGCGTCCTTCACGAATTGAGGCAAAAAAAAATGGCGGAAGACGCAGAGAGCAATATTGCTATTCATTTTGTCGACGAAAACGACTAAAGAGAGATTTCTGCTAGAGCTGTGTCAGCGAAACGGAAATTAAAAAAGAATCGCCCTTCCTCTCTTATATAGAGCTAACAGTACAGCAGGGAAATCCTTAACACAGTGAATATTCTCTCAGGATCATTTATAATTTACAGTTTGAAGAGAGCAATTTCTGGTTTGATATTTATTCTTTTATTAGTCTTTTATTATTCAACAAAAATAACACTTGGTGTCCTATAATAATAATAACAATAATAATAATAATAATAATAATAATTTAATAACTTCTAGAGCGCTA